TCGCACCGTTCACAGGGCTCCAGGTGGAGGTCCAGACCCGGGGCTCGCGACGCCCTAGCGGACCAGCGGGGTTCCCGGCTTCCACGGGCTCGTTTAATTTTTCCCGCCAGCCCTGAGCTATGGAGATGATGCAACCGAGCCTCCGCGCTGTCGTCAGGCAGGGGTCCCGCTGCAGCGTGGGCAGGAAGCAGGGAGGCGGTGCGTGTGTGTGTGCGCGTGTGTGTGTGTGAGAGAGGGATAAAATTAAGATTTTGGCTTCCCTCTGGGCACACACCTTCACTCCACCCCGCTCCCGCCCGTACACACCTCTTTCCAAGAGCTGCTTAAAAGTCTATTCTACTTTCGTTACTCTGGAAACTACCCTTACAACAGCCTGTGGCGTTAAGGCCTGTTAACTCGTGTCTTCTCTCACTGGGGTCCTCTCCCTTTATACTCATGAATATTTTGCCTGTGCATGAATGTCTGTGCATCCCATGCATGCCTGGGTACCCACGGAGTTCGGAAGTGGGCAACAGATGCCCTGGAACTGGAGTCGCAGGTGGTTGTGAGCTGCCATGTGGGTGCTGGGAGCTGAACCTCTGTCCTTTGTCCTGTACAAGAGCAACAAGTGCCCTTAACCACTGAGCCACCTCTCCAGGCCCAGGAAGGCCCCTTTGTTCTTGTGCGTGGGGAGACCCTGGAATCTCAGTGTCTCTCTTCTGAATTTTGGGGGGCAGGGGACGGGCTTCTGGAGGGCAAGCTTTGCTCTGTGGCCTTGCAGAGTAACTCAGGATGAGGTGGAGGGAGATTTGGAGGGGAATCGAGTAGAGCCGATCAAAACTAAAAAACTGCCCTTTGGATGGTGATCTGAACCTTGACTCTAGAACTTGCTTTTCAAGGTGACGGTGGGGGTGGTGTGAGAACTGAGTGCTGGCTGGACCAGGCTGCCTGCTTAGCCAGAGGGCTGTCTGTACCCATGACTGAGGGTGACTGGGAGAGGTCTGGACAATTTTTAATTAGTCCTGGCTCTTCTACCCTAAGCCTCTGCAGAGATGTGGTCAGCTGGTCTGGATGGCTGCTCGGGCCCAGCACAGCAAGGTGGCCCGGACACAGGCTGGGGAAGCCTCTGGAGGCTGGACAGGCCAGGAGACTCTGGCAGACAGTGACCCTGAGGTGTGGGAGCTCCTCCAGAGGGAGAAGGACAGGCAGTGTCGTGGTCTGGAACTCATCGCCTCAGAGGTAGGACACGAGGATACGGGCCAAGAAGCAAACTGCCACGAGTGCAGGAAATAACGCGTCACCTCACTGTCATTTTTACGCATCTCCCCGTCAGACTCAAGAGCTTTTTCCTGGGCCTTCTCTCCCTCTCTCTGCGCCTTTTCCTCTGAAGCATAAGGCAGGACCAACCCAGTTTGTGGGGCTTGGGCATTAGGGAGCGTCTAGATTCCTTACGGTTTCATCTCCTCCTTACCTCCTCTTCTTGTCAGAAGAAAGAGGAAACACAGGTTGAGTGGACAGGTGGCCTTACTGGGGACCGCCCGTCATGGCAGCTGAGTTTTTGAGAATGCTGCTTCTGGGTCCTGCCTCATGCCTGGCAAGGGACCCAGAGTGCACAGAGCTTTTTGTGCAGCCTGTCCCCTCCCCACCCCTCCAGCCCGTGGGCTCCAGCAGGGGTGAGGCTGTGGTAATCCAGGGGAAGGGCCTCATTGCCTTCTGACACTGCCCCCCCCACCACCCCAGAACTTCTGCAGCCGAGCTGCGCTGGAGGCCCTGGGGTCCTGTCTGAACAACAAGTACTCGGAGGGTTATCCTGGCAAGAGGTGAGGGCTGGACCAGAGGGCTGGAGGGCAGCCTCAGGGATGGCACTCCCGGTGGCGGAACCTTCGTGAGCCCCCGTTAGCGTTCATGGAGCAGTGGCCTTCCCAGCCCTTGGCTTCCGGTCAAGGGTCCTTTCTCTGTGCCCTTATGTACCCTCTCCATGGTAGATATTATGGCGGAGCAGAGGTTGTGGATGAAATTGAGCTGCTCTGCCAGCGCCGGGCCCTGGAAGCCTTTGACCTGGATCCTGCACAGTGGGGAGTCAATGTCCAGCCATACTCGGGGTCTCCAGCCAATCTAGCAGCCTATACAGCTCTTCTTCAGCCCCATGACCGAATCATGGGGCTGGACCTGCCCGATGGGGGCCAGTGAGTATGGATGGGATGAGTGGTGGGTTTGGTGGGCAGTAATGACCCGGGGTAGGGGTTGGTGAACACCTGTCAGGTCCTGTGCAGATGGACCACACCTGTCTCAGGTTACAGTGGACCCTAGTACCCAGCTCGGAGCAGACAGAGCATTGAGTGTGGGGCAGACTAGGGCCGATGTTCCAGGGACAGGCCCGTGGGGGTGGCGTGGCTGGTTAGGTCGGGTTATTTCACTTGGAGACCCTTCCTCCTAGTCTCACCCACGGCTACATGTCTGACGTCAAACGGATCTCTGCCACATCCATTTTCTTCGAGTCTATGCCCTACAAGCTCAACGTAAGTGTTCTAGGGCCTGGGCACTTGGCCCCGGTGGTTGGTTGGTTCTTGGCCAGTGGGAGGGCCTGGAGGTCTGGGCAGCCTTCAGCCTCCAGGAGCACGAGCCGCACCGATGGCCACTTCAGGGCTTTAGCTGGTTATCTGTCTCTCCAGCCCCAGACCGGCCTCATCGACTACGACCAGCTGGCGTTGACTGCTCGGCTTTTCCGACCGCGGCTCATCATAGCCGGTACTAGTGCCTACGCCCGCCTCATTGACTATGCCCGCATGAGAGAGGTTGGTGAGGGGCTGGAGACCCGCACTCCCCCACCCTGTGGGTGGGGATGGGGGCTGAGAAGGACGGCTGCCCTGCGTATATACCTGTTTGGGTCTTCCCCAGGCTGAGGCATGTCTCTCTACCTGCCCAGGTGTGCGATGAGGTCAAGGCACACCTGCTGGCGGACATGGCCCATATCAGTGGCCTCGTGGCCGCCAAGGTGATCCCCTCACCTTTCAAGTACGCGGACATCGTCACCACCACCACTCACAAGACTCTTCGAGGGGCCAGGTCAGCATTGCCTGGGCTTAGACCTTGCTAGGGGGCTTGGGGGATCCAGCGCATCAAGTCCAGTTGAGGGGACTCGGAGCCCCTGAGTGTCTGAACCAGCCATCTCCTCTGTCCCATCACTTGCCATTCGTTGGCTCAGATCCCGACCACTTGTCTTCCACGTAGGTCAGGGCTCATCTTTTACCGGAAAGGAGTGCGGACCGTAGACCCCAAGACTGGCCAAGAGATCCCTTACACTTTTGAGGACCGAATCAACTTTGCTGTGTTCCCATCCTTACAGGGGGGCCCCCACAACCACGCCATTGCTGCAGTAGCTGTGGCCCTCAAGCAGGTCGGGGAGCCTTCCCTTGAGTGGGGGTGCACGGGTCCAGAGGCTTTGCCCCCTTACCTTGTAGCTAAGGCTGAGGCTGAAAGATGGGAAGTGGCTAAGGTGGGAGGTGGCCAAGGCTGGGGTCACTGTGTCTCGTGAGTACAGTACCAGCTAGGGCCTGTGCTCAGCCCTGGGGTGACAGGCCACTGTCTTGTCTGTAGGCCTGCACCCCCATGTTCCGGGAGTACTCCTTACAGGTGCTGAGGAATGCTCAGGCCATGGCTGACGCCCTGCTAAAGCGAGGCTACTCACTGGTGTCTGGTAAGCCAGTGGGTGGGTGAAGGTTTTCGTGGCCTCAGGCAGAGGCCCTGGACTCCCCAATCCCCGATCACTGTCCCCCTCAGGTGGTACAGACACCCACCTGGTGCTGGTGGACCTGCGACCCAAGGGCCTGGATGGAGCGCGCGCCGAGCGAGTCCTGGAGCTTGTGTCCATCACGGCCAACAAGAACACCTGTCCCGGAGACCGGAGTGCCATCACTCCGGGGGGCCTGAGGCTGGGTGAGTCCCCGGGTCTGAGGAGGGAAGGGTGGCCACACGGTGGTCGCCTCATGATCCTGACTGTGCTAATTATCTGCCTTCCGCTCTCTCCCAGGTGCCCCAGCGTTGACTTCTCGGCAGTTCCGTGAGGATGACTTCCGGAGGGTCGTTGATTTTATCGATGAAGGGGTCAACATTGGCTTGGAGGTGAAGCGCAAGACTGGTGAGTGGCCGCGAGGGTCCCCAGCCAAGCAGTTCTCACCCATTGCCTTTCCCTCCCCTGCTGTTCTGGCTCACTGCCTCGCCCAGAGCTCTGACCACCTTTCCACACTCCTCTGTTTTCAGCCAAGCTCCAGGATTTCAAATCCTTCCTCCTCAAAGACCCAGAAACAAGTCAGCGTTTGGCCAACCTCAGGCAACAGGTGGAACAGTTTGCCAGGACCTTCCCGATGCCTGGATTTGATGAACGCTGAGGGCCTGTGAATCAAGGCCCACAGACTGGAAGTCGCCCTTCTTTCTGCCTACCTGGACCACACAAGAGACACCACTGATCTTTCTGGGTTTCGGTGGAGGGAGGAAGGCCTTCCGTTTCGGGCAGAGCCAGGCATGAGCCCCTTCCAGAATCTGTAGCTGAGATCTCTGTTTTGTTACCATTTCTAGAAGCAGCCCCCAGCACACGCCCAGCTTGGCTTTGAGACAGGGTCTCACTTAGCTGAGGCTGGCCTTGAACTGACCCTCCTACCTCCATTTCCCGAGTGGTGGGGATGTAGGTGTGCACCATCACACCCACCTTCGCCCTCCGCTTTCTGCCCCAACCCTCTGCCATATCTCAGTGTTACAGACTCTTGCTCTTTCTCGGGGAGGGGGAGTTGCATGCTGAGCCAGAGGACAGGGTGGGTAGGCGCCATCCTTCCTGTCTTTATCTAATAAAATGCTAACCTGCCCAGAGTTCCTATTACTGTGGGAGGGGTCCCCTGGGCCGACCAGCATTCGACTCCCTCAACATGTACTCCCCTCCCACCACCACAAGGACCCCCGGGGCTGCAGCCTCCTCTCCCTGTCTCTGATCAGAGCCGACACCAGACGTGATTAGCAGGCGCAGCAAATTCAATTTGTTAAATGAAATTGTATTTTGCCCACGGCTGCTTCTGTTTGATCCCCAGGGACCGAGGAGCAAGGGAAGGGAGGGTGGGAGAAGCAGGGAAGGCCCAGGTGCAGGGTGGGAGGGGGTGCCCTTGATGGGCGGCGAAGGCTTGGGCAGGAAAGGGACACACTGCGTGGTGGAGGCTACCCACCCGAGGCAGGCTGGGAGGCCGGGACGAGCCCCGTCGAGCCTGGGCAGCTGCTCCCCCTAGACCTGGCTCAAAACTGGAGCTGACGTGGGGCCTGCCCCGTCTCTTGGCACACGTCTGGCACGCTCAACACGTAGCCTGCGCCACACCCAGTTAGGCGTGGGGGGTAGGAGGAGAGAGGGGCCGGCCTGGGCCTTTGGGGCCAACCCCAGCTTCTGCCTGCAGGCTTGACTCCCCTCCCCCACCGTGGGATTCCAGCTGAGGGTCAGAGGCTCTTCCTCCGCGGGGAGCAAGGGAGGGGGGAGCGGAGCCGCCTCCCCTGTGCGTGGGAATCGGGCCATGTGAGCAGAAGCTGGGCAGTGTTGCTAGACTGACGCCCTAGGGTCTAGGGCAGGGAGTGGAAAGCGATTCACAAGGAACCCCCGGGCCCTGCCTCAGAAGTCCGGCCGGTCCTTCTTCAGCTTCTTGTAGTCAGTGGAAACGGCAAGGAACTATGGAGAGGGAAAGGAGAGTTGACGAGGGTCTCTTGCCTCGTGTGTGTGTGTGTGTGTGTGTGTGTGTGTGTGTGTGTGTTGGGGGGATAGGAAGGAAGTGGAAGAGGGCCCCACTAGGCCCACGGTTACCTTGTACTGGTCATTGGGACTCATGCGGTTCCAGGGCTCTGGATTGTTCTTCCTGTCCCAGCTGTAAAGGGGAGAGGAGGGTTGGGGGAATCTCTCTTTTGGGCACCAGGACTCAGGCATTAAACCTCAGCGCCACCGCCCCTGGTTTCCTACCCTGGGGAGGGGAACACATTTCCTAGAGATTGACAGAGATTCGGGGGGGGGGGGCATGTCAGCAGGTGCTGGCTGGAAGCTTGATGCCGATGTCGGGATGACATTCCAGCCCACGGAGCCCCCAGAGTTCCTGCCTCTCTAGGTTTAACCACTTAGAACAGTCGTGGGAGCCAGGAGACGCCCCGAAGAGCAGGGCTTTGGTGGTGTCCCTCAAACTCCAGGGCCAGAGTGGGTAGGTATTCTGGCCTTGTCAAAGGACCTCCTGATGCCTCTGGCAGGGCGTGAACTCTTGGTGCCACCAGAGACCCTCAGGAGCCCCACACTGCCAGACCTCCGGCGCTTCTGGGCAGGCGTGGAGGTACCTAAAAGCCAGGCATGGCCAGGAGAGCTGTGTCGCCATGGCAACCCCGTGGCGAGCGGGCTGGGATTCCAGCTGCCCCACGTGGCTGGCCGCTGACAAGTGAGCCTCCAGGTGGTCCAGATGGGAGGCGAGGGTCTCTCGGGTCGGGCATCCAACCCCCCGAGATGCTGGGTGGTACCGTGGGAACAAGGACACAGGCCGAGGAGGACCCCTGATAGCGCCACCCGTTACCGTTCTTCCTCAGCAGTCCCATTGTGCCCCGCCCAGGACCCCTGCCTGCCTCCCAAGCCCGGTAGTTACCAGACATCCGGGCTACGCAGTGCAAGTCGCAGCAGATAGAGCCCAGCACTGCCCATGCCCAAGCAGATGAAGCCAATCATCGGGATGAGCTGTGGGAAGAACCAAGTACTCTGAGGGTCTGAACTCTACCCAGTTCCCACTCGCCCTGCACGAGCTTTTCTGTCCCTTTTATCTTTACCCAAGGTCTGGTGCCACCACCACCCCCTTTTGGGAGCGAGGCCTGAAACCTACAGCCACATTTTCAGCATCCTCTCCCTTACCCTACGCTGATCCTGCCCAAGGTTGATTCCAGGGACATGGGATAGTTTGCAGAGACAGAATGTGGGTGCCCCTGGGAAGGTTTTGGAGCATTAAGGAAACTAGACAGGAGGCAGGGTTTGGGGTGTTGAGAGGTTGGGATGGTAAGAGGGAACTGGGGATCTGGGACTGAACTCACCCCGGGGTGTCTTTTGATCTGCCGGTAGAAGCGGGCCCCTGCACTGGTTCCTGCCATCTTTCTCCAGTGTCTGGTCTCCGGTAGATCTGTTCTATTCCTCCCCCTGGGGTCCCGCCCCCCATCGGGGAGGGGTCAGCCTAGCCCAGCCAGCCCCACCCAGCTTGCTTCCTCCCAGCGATTCCAGGTCCAAAAAGGCTGGAGTTTGTTGGGGATCCTTGAAGTTTCTCCTTCCCAACTTTCTCCTGCTGATTGGGGAACCCTGGCCCATGAGACACCATTATACTTGGGTCTTGGGGTATCTGAGCGAGGAGCCTCTCTGGCATCCAGAGACTGAAGGGGGATCCAGATGTGGGACAGGCAAGCAGACAGCCCTCTTAACAAAACGGGGGTATGGAGTGTCCACGGGAGGGACCAAGGAACAGTGAGGGCATCTTCAGCACTCCCTCTGCGCCCCTGGAGCCTCCCAGGAGCTTGCAGGTTCGGCCTCAGCATCCTGCAGCGGGAGGAGGGGGAAGGCAAGCGAGCCTTGCCAGCTCTGCCCAGCTAGTTCTGGACAGTTCTGCTGAGTTGTGGTTGGCCTGGAGTAGTTAGGGGTGGAGGATGTAGGGGGATGAATCTCTGCACTGCTCAAGATGTGAGACCATGCTGGGGGCAGTTTAGGGGCCTGAGACGGCGAAAGTGGAGCTCTCTCCAAGGAGGCCACCATTGAGATTAGAGGAAGAGCTCTGAATGAAGGAAGCAGACTTGGAAAGCTGGAAGAGATGTTGAGCTAGGGAGGAGAACACAGCCAGCTCAGGCACATGCTGCCATGGCAGGGAGTCCCCCCCACTCCCCATCTTTGGAGGACTGGTTTGGGGTCCACAGGAGGTGAGCTTCACCTTCTCACTCCCGTGTTAATTTCCATCATGACCCCCTCCCACCCAGCTTCTGGATCCTGTGAATCTCCCCCGTCTCTCCCCGGAAGAACTTGTCCGACGGTGGGCACCCGCTGGGATGAGCTGTGCACCCGCCACTGTCTCCCCGGGGTACAGGGAGGGAGGCGACCCCTTCTGAGAGGCCCCTCCCTTTCTCACACACCGACACCCCGCCCGCCCCTTGAGCTGACAAGCTCAGCGGTAATTAGGCTGCGGGGTCCGGGCTCTCCGCCTCCCTCCGGCGGATAATGAGATAAAGTGTCAGAGACATGGCGAGAACAAAGAGACAGAGACTCGCTGAGATGGGGGTGGGGGTGGGGGAGGGGGTGGAGGAGGGGGACTGATGGGATGTCAGAGCCTGGAGCAGCGCAGGGCCCTTCCGGAGCATTGGCACCCCCGGGGCTGCGCCAGGGAGGAGGATGTGTCCTAGGACCCCTTAGCCCGGACCCGCTGGGGAGTCGGGGTGGGGGTGGAGCCAAATCACCAATCCTGAAGCTCCAACTCCAGCAGCTGCCCAGCTGGGCTGCACATCTGGTACTCTGTGGTACAGCTGGGGAGCCAGGACTCCGGCAGGGACGCCGGGCCGTTGCTTTATGCCCCTTTGCTCTTGGGCCCTCGCTTGCCTAGTGCTGGCGAGCTAGGCCCGGGGAGACCCAGAGGCTGTGCTGGAACCTCCACTGTTTCTCATCCCTTGGGTCTCCAGCCCGCTCTTAAGCTCAGACTGTCACTTCCGCCCTTGCGTCCCCGCGATTTTTCGACGCTTCGTCTGCTCCTGACCCGGGCCTCTGTGGGCCTGTCTCTGAGACCCCCCCACCCCACCCGCTGTGTTCCCATCTCTGGATCGTGGTCTTTGGGGTTCCGGGTCTCACCCCATCCCCTTCCCTGCACGTTCCCAATCACTCAGGCCATGCTGCCCCAGCAGGTGAGGGACGGCAGGAGTCGTTAGCCGAGGATTAGGCACAACCCGCGGTCCCAGGGGGACCAGACTCTTCAACTCTAAACCGCTCCAGGACACTAATCCGTGCGGCTGGCGGCGGCGCCGCAAGTCAAACGCAGCTGGGCTCTCCAGGGCCAGCCGCCCGGGGAGGGGGTCCGTGGGTGCGGGCGCCCTCTGGAGGCCGCGCCGCTCGCAAGCGCGGGGAGGAGGTCTCGGGCTCCCCCTGTCGGGCAGCGCCCGCTCTGCATGTCCAGTGTCGGCTCAAGTTAGGTGTGCGCCTGGAGGGTGCGTGCCCACAGGTCTGTGCCCAGGGGGTTGCCCGCCCACGCAACCGAGCTGGTGGGGCCTCGCAGCCTCCACTCTTCTGTCGGGGTCGGAGGACACAGATGGGACGGGGACCCTATCTCGCCAGGTGTGGACAGCATCCAGGTTCAGGCCGGATTCTCTCTGTGGCCTCACACCCCTGGGGCCTCCTCTCTGCTCCGGCACTACCCGGGTGTCCCTCTGCCTTGGCCTCCCCTAAGCCTCTCCTGGCTGACGTTCTTTCTGCTCCTTCCTCTAGCTCTGTCTTTGGGTACGTCTGGGCTTCTCCTTGCCACTCTGCTCTCGACCTAGCTTTGTCCTTCCGTGTCTGTTTCTCTGTGTCTCGACAGCCTCTCCTTCCCTTCACACCTTGCTGTGGTCTCTCTGCAAATGCGCCTCTCTCTCTCTCTCTCTCTCTCTCTCTCTCTCTCTCTCTCTCTCTCTCTCTCTCTCTCTCTCTCTCTCTCCCCACACACACACACACACATCCATTCTTTAGCTCTATTTCTGTTCCGTGGTTTAGTACCCGTCCCTGGGGAGTTGCAGCGACCCAACGGAATAGCGCGCAGACACCTTGGGGGCACTGCCCAGGGTCCCCTCCCCATCACTTCCACATTCCTGTCACTTCGCAGCGGCCTCTGTCCTTCCCGCTGCAGCTGAGGTACTGGAGAGGGCGCCCGAGAGGGGAGCCACGATGCCCTGCATCTGCTCAGGAGCCCCGGGGGCCCTTGACCCCCACTGCCACTATTAAGGGCGCTGGGTCCTGAGGCTCTGAGATGATCATGGTTGCAGCAGCCAGACAGAAGTGGAGCCAGGAGCCTGGCGGCAAGCAGGCTAGCCAGCGAGACAAAGACGCCCGCGCCATCTGTTTATGCAAAGCGCTCACCACTAGGGACCCTGGTGTCCCGGTGCCTTGCCCAGGCCGGGGCACAGGGTCACGAACCCACTTCTGCCCAGGGCTCCCACTATGCCTGGGCATCATCCCCTCCTCCCTGGCAGCCAGAGGGGCCACGGGGCGAGCAGAACAGGGAGGGGGCGGGGAGTTGATGTGATTGGAGAGGACGCGGCTGTTTCTTCAATAATGGATGGAGATGATGCGGACGGCGAGCCGGCCGGGAAAGGAGAGAGGAATAGAAATAGGGAGAGAAAGAAGCGGGGGCGGGAGACTCAATCAGAGGCTCTCTCTCTCTCTCTCTCTCTCTCTCTCTCTCTCTCTCTCTCGTGCACGGGGACGCGCGCACACGCGGGCGCGGGCGTCACACTGTCATTCGGGTACATGCTGCCGCGCAGCTCACACCCAGGCACACGCCCACGCACTGTCACCGAGACACACACACACACACACACACACCTGCAAGCAGAGACGCCAGAGCAGCGCGCGCGCGCGCACACACACACACACACACACACACACACACACACACACACGGCAGTGGCTCTAGAATTTCACACATACGACGCCTGCACACCGGGGCACAACCAGACTCAAAGAGCACACAGACACATCGACCTGTCAAAGCACGGTTGAAGGAAGCTCCACACACCTAGCCACCCCGGGACTTACGGAAACCATAGAAATGGGGGTAGACACACCGGGCAGCACAGACACCCGGGCTGACAAAATCAGACCACACACAGGTACACACGTACCTGGGGCTGGGGTCTAGACACACATCACATCCTCAGACGGGCACATCCCACACACCAGGAGCACAGAGACAGAGACCCTCCCCCATGCTTTTCAAGGGGTTGCACCCAAGCAATGGCCCAAGCTGCCATTCGTGCCCTGCGGGGGTTGAGAGTGTGAGAGAGGTCGCTGGGGCAAGCCTTGTTAGCCCACATTAGCCCAGCCACGTAATGAGGAGGTGGTGACAGGAGGTGCCTGGGGCTGTGCGTGGACTCAGAGGCCTAGGCCCCCCCCCCCCCGCCCCCCAGCTTCCTTCTCAGGCCTCCAGGTACAGACAGACCTCCGGCCGTCCCTGCTGCAACGATTCCGACAGGCCCTGACAGCCCCGACTGAGCTCATGAGAAGGGGAGCGGTGGGATACAGGCAACAGCCCTAGAAGACGCCCAGGAGCCCCAGCTGAGGGGAGGTGAGGGTTGAAGTCAGGGTCAGTCCGTGTCTCACCTCCAGGCATGCTGCCCAATCAGCTAAGATTTTCTTTTTCTTTTCTTTTTTAAATAATAGTAATTAGAACCTGGAGAGGGTGGGTGTACATTGTGTCCTGGACCCTATAATACCCTGGCCCTTCCTCTGATCTATTTTCAATTCAGTCTGCTCCTTGGCCCAGACTTATGACCTTTGCGGTGTGTGGCAGCACCATCCATCACCCAGGCAGCTGGCTTGTGGGAGTGGGAGGCACTGGGGGCCAAACAGTGTCCCTGTCACACCTCGGCCTCTCCTGGGATTGGCCAGGGTTCAACTCAACCGGCAGAGTGCTGAGGGGCAGGGTATGATCACCGGGTTCAATCAAGACACTCTTCTCCACCCCTGGGACCCCAGCACCCCTCCTTCCAGTTAGGCGCAGCCTGTCTCCGGGCTCCTCCCGCCCCCCCTCCTCTCGGGCCCTTTGCTTAATTTCCTATTAACTGCTGATAAATCCAATTAAACCGCCGCTCTAATTAGGGACAGCTGCCGGCTCGGTAAGGCGAGGGAGAAGGGGGGGCACCCTGCGAGTATAGGGAGAGAACAGCCGCTCTCCCTGCTCCTCGACACCCCTACACCAACACTGCCGCCCAATGAGCCAGTAAATTGGTTTTGCTTCAGCATTTTTGGGGGGCTCTTGACAGTCCCGGGGGGGGGCGGGGAGGAGCTCAGTTTGTGAGTCCCACAGACCGCTTGATGAATACAGGCAATGGGCATCCTCATCCTTCTTCCCCTCACTTGTGCAAGGGGACTGACTGTCCGAGTGTTCCTCTCCTGGCCTCCACACCGCCCGCCCCGGCTTTCACGAGTGACAGTCAAGGGCAAAGGGAACAAGAAGCGGAGCCCGGGTTTTTGCGGCGAGTTTTGTGTGCTTCCCTACCCCTGGTACTCCTCATCTTTCTGCCGGGGAGGGGAGGGGAGGGGAGGGGAGGGGAGGGGGCGCCCGTCCCGGGGCCCTCCTCTTCCCAGACCAGCTGAGCCTCTGCCCTCCCCCCTCCTCCAGCAGCAGATGGTGCCCGGGCTCCCGCTGCCAACCTTGCTAGGCGGTGCCAACCTCAGTCCTGGCAGACAACCCGTAGACTAAGAAGAGGAGCTTCTGGCTGGCCAGGCCGGCCCTCCCCCACCCGCTCTCAAACCCAGGACCCCCTCCGCCTGCCCGGCTCCAGCGACCACCCCGAGCTGCTTCTCCGTGGTCGGCTCCTAGGTCCCCAAACTCCTCGTCTCCTCCTGCTCCCTCCTGCACACCTTCCCGCTCCTCGCCACCTGCCGCCCTGACCGCGGCCGGCGCATTTGCATATTTGCATATGCAAATAATAACATTTGCATACGGCGCGCCGCAGGGGGGGCCGGCCGGGCGTCCTCGCGCTCCGTACCTGTCGGCAAAGGGCGGGGGCAGGGGCCGCGCGGGAGGGCTCAGCCCCCCGGCCGCGCTCGCTCCGCTCCCGGAGGACCGGAGGGAGTGTTGCCATGGAGACGGCACGCACCCCACCCCCTCCCAGGCCTAGGGTCCCCGGCTCTCTCCCCTTAGCCAGCCCCCCGGCCCCTCCCCATCCCTCGCTCCAACTGAGATCTCGCATCGCCCCCTGGCGGCCACGCTGGGCTCCGAGCCAGGCTCCGAACCGCCAGGGCGACGTGGCCAGGACCAGGCGGGGGACCCGGCCCTGCCACGCTCTTCTGCCAGCCACAGGGGCACGGGGTGGCATTCCAGCCCGGCCCTTTTCTGCCTAGACCAGCGAGTGCAAGCCTGCCCACTCCCACCAGCCGCGGCTTTCCGCAACCTGACCACAGGAGGTGGGGCGGCGGGGGGGACAGTCTTCCTCTCTCCGCAGGCCTTCTCTTCATCCGCAGTCAAAAAAGACAAACTAGCCGGGCGGTGGTGGCGCACGCCTTTAATCCCAGCACTCGGGAGGCAGAGCCAGGCGGATCTCTGTGAGTTCGAGACCAGCCTGGGCTACCAAGTGAGTTCCAGGAAAGGCGCAAAGCTACATAGAGAAACCCTGTCTCGAAAAACCAAAAAAAAAAAAAAAAAAAAAGACAAACTTCTCTAACTTTTGTCAAAACTTTAATAAATTCGCAACCTCTGACAATTCGGCCCCTGGGCGCCTCTTTACGGGTGTGCACCCCCGCCCCCCAGCTCTTGGATGGACCTCAAGGGTGGGTCTGACGGGTGCCGCCTGCTCTGCGCACCGGGTATCCCAAGCCCTAGGCAGGCGGAGAGAGGTGCGAGACAGTCCCTCCCCAGAAGCACCACCGTGCTCCCGCAGGCCTCTCCAACCCTCCTCCTCCTCCAGCAGTCCAGCAGCCCCTCCCCTCCCGAGCCCGCACTGGGCCCCGCCCAGAACCAGGCCTAGGCGTCTCCGGCCGGCGGGCGCCAGAACGCCTAAATCTCCTCCAGGAAGTCGGTGGGGAACAGCCCCACCTTGCGGCCGGTGTAGACCTTGACGTAGCCGCCAGCTTCGTCTCCTTTCTGCACAACGATCTAGGGAGTTAAAGGATGGGGCGCAGGGGCTGAATTAAAGACCGACGAAGCCGGGAGAGCTTTTACACGTTAGCGTCTCCCAGGTGTGTGGAGTGGGGAGGTGCGACCACCCGAGCTACCTGGTCTTTCTTCAGAGTGATCTGCCCAATCTCACGGTTGCCCACAAAGGATCTGGTGACGCGGTGCACACGTTCTCCAGCCCGGACCCGAATGATGAAGTTTGGAGGGAAGAATCCGACCTTCTCCCCGATTTTCCCCTAGGGAACGGGGTAGGTAGGCTGCCGATCTCAGGTTCCAGACCCTACCCACGGCCCACCTGAGCTCTAGCTGTGGATCTTACCCGCCACCACTCCTCATTGGAGTCATCGATGACGGTGATCTTCTCCCCTGGCCTGGGACAGGAAGGAGAGCTCTCTGTGATTTACACGCACATACCAGTTCCTGGCTGTGTGCAGGAGCAGCTCCAAAACAGAAGCCCAGGGCACCTGCCCCTTTCCATTCCCACAGAGAGCTCATCTCCTACTCCTCCGTGCTCCCCACACGCCCGCCTCCCTGGAAGGCTTCTCACGGGAAATCCAGATCATCCTTCTCCAAGGCTTTGAACCGATAGAGAGCCACAAAGTAATGAGACTGCTGGAAGCCAGGCTGCCTGTGCTGGGGGGTGAAATAGAGGGATGAGCTTCCCGACTCCTTTACCAGCTCTTCCAGGAGGGGAGTTCATTGGTTTCGGTGTGATGAAGAGGGGGTGGAGGGCGGTGGGAAGATGAGGACCGGGGTTCTACAGGTAGAAAAGTCTTACTCTGTCATCAGGTGTTCTCTTCTCCGCCTTCTTGTCTCCTTCTGCATTGTTCCCTTGGATGGGAAATACAGACTGATGGCTTCTGCCAGTGCAGGGCATCCATCACCCCCCCCCCCCCCCTTGTGCTGGAGGACTGTCACCCTGGGCCCAGCCTTTCCCTCTCCACCCTTGCCTACACTGGCCCCGTCCCCTCTCTGTGGATGGAGAGGGGGGTACTCACTCACCATCCGGGGACTTGCCTTCCTCTGGCCTGGCTGACTCTGGTTCCTCCTCCATCATGGCTGCCAGAGGCTGGAGGGGACACCAGAGTTAGGGAGATGCTGTCTTTGGAACCTATGTTTCCCCTGCTTCTCCGGGCAGGCCAGAGAGTTGTAGAAAAACAGTATCTAAGCACTAGAAGAATACTTGGAGAAAACATTAGTCCCACCACCTGCCTAACGCAGGAATTTCTTCTGATATATGCTGGCACGTAGGCTAAGTGCATTGTGCCTGCATACAGCTAATGACAGGGAGTTCACTACCTCACACTATGACCCCATGTGGTTTTCTTTTTCAATTCCTTTTATTAAGCCTATATCAGCTTCCCTCTTATCTTTAGTTATTTGTCTTGATTTGCCTTCTTGGGGCTTTAAATGTGAAACAAACATAGTCTCTAAATATCTAAGGACAGCAGACAGATCCTTTCTGGCTTCTCTTCCCCACTAATTTTTAGTCCCTGCAAATCACCTCTATGATCCAGATTTCAGGCCCTTCATTACACTGTCTGATTAAAAATACTCCAATGTATAAGACAGGGCATATGGGGGGGGCGCAGTTTTCTTCTCTCTCTCTCTCTCTCTGTCTGTCTCTCTCTGTCTCTGTCTGTCTCTCTCTGCCTGTCTGTCTCTGTCTCTGTCTGTCTCTGTCTCTCTTGTCTGTCTCTGTCTGTCTCTGTCTCTCTGTCTGTCTCTCTCTGTCTGTCTCTCTCGCTCTCGCTCTCGCGGTTGTTCTGAGGCAGTCTCAGGCACCCAGCTGTCCTCAGACTCCTTATGTGGCCAGAATGACCTTGAATTCCTGCTCTTCTGGCCTCTAGCTCCCACATGCTAGGATTACAGGCATGACCACTTTACCTGTCTGGCAACATAGTTTTCACAGTTTCCTTTTAAGAACAGAACCTAAGAATATGGATGTTTTTCCTGAAACAGCCTTGTAAATCATAGTTCAATTGACTGAAATTTGTCATCCATACCCAAGCTTTATATCAACTACTTTGAGATCAGATCTCTAGTTTTGTTTCCAGGAAGTTTTTTTTCCACAAGTAAATGTTCTCTTATGAATTTTCAAATTATTATTATTATTATTAATTATTTTCAAGACAGAGTTTCTCTGTGTAACAGTCCTGGCTGTTCCAGAACTCGCTCTGTAGACCAGGCTGGCCTCAAACTCACAGAGATCTGCCTGCCTCTGCCTCCCAAGTGCTGAGATTTAAGGTTTGGGCCACCCAGTTGAACTTTCAAATTGTTAAAGCCAGACAAGGCTGTGCATGCCTCCAATTCCAGCACCAGGATGCTGAGGTAGGAGGATTGTGAACTCAGGAACAGATTGGGCTATAAAGCAAGTTACCTGAAGCCTGTGCTACATAGCAAGGCCTTTAGAGCAGAATGGAACAGAGTATGTGTCAGAGATGTGGTTCAGTTGGTGGGCTGCTCGCCTAGCATGAAGCAGCCCTGGTTTCGATCCCTACCATCACATAGAGCAGGTGTGATGACAAGTATCAGTTACCCCAGTACCTAGGAAGTGGAGGCAGGAGGATCAATGTTCAAGATCACCCTGATGCTGGCTTAGGCCACCTGAGACCCTGTCTCCAGAAACAGGGGGTGGGGCTTCCTGGAGAGTGGTGAAGAGCACTCGTTGCTCTGAGATTTTGTCCATTGTTATTTTATGTGTATGCGTGCTTAGACTGCATATATGTCCGGGCACCATGTGCATGCCTGGTGCCCACAGAGACCCCAGAACGGGAGTCGCTTTAACTAACATCGTAAGGTTGTCCAGGGAGGAATTATCGCTTGCCCAGGCCAACCCACTTCTGGCCTTACCAACCTCGTATCTCTACTGTAAAGGACAAGGAGACTGCCCTTGACCAGGAGTAGCTCTGTGCCTCTGTCTCATCTACAAGGTGAACAGGTCACACCGGATGACCTTCAAGGACACCTGCTGGCTCCAGAATTCTCTAGTTACTTGGAATGACAAATTCTCTTCCCCAAATGCAAAATGCACAGATCTTGCCCCTGTTGCCCAAAGTGCCAGGCCAGGAACTTAGCCTTCTGTGGTACTTAATTGCCAGTTTTGGAAGGGAGTTGAGGAGTCACGTTCTATGGCTGGAGTGAGTTTGTTTTTCAATGTTGGGTGTTAAACCAGGATGCCTTATACACACATACTAGGCAAGCACTCCACCACAGAACTATATTCTCAGTCCTACGGCAGGATTCTTTTTTTCTTTTTCTGGTGAGGTGCATAAAATGCTTAAAAAAAATTCTACAGTCTCACACAGGAATGTTTTTCTGTTTGGTTACGCTGCTGCACCACCATCTGGGGGCAGAGGATCCATAGCGTCTACTAGTTTCCCCACAGGGGAAATGACCTGTCCCGGGGAGCTCCTGCCACGGGCCTCTGTGGCAGTGGCGGCATGCGGCGCTCACATTTTTCTTATCTGCCTGGCCCTTCTTCCGTTCCTTGTTTGCCATGATCACCCCGACGCGCAGGGTCTCAAACACAGGGTCGTTGCGATTGGCAGTGGCTGGTGGGATGGGAGGAGAGAGACTCTATTACTGGGCAGGCTGGCCGAGGAGGGCTTGGAGGGAGAGCCCTTTCAAAGGACATAGGGGAGTAGGTGGATGCGCACCGGGACTCGGGGAGTGGAGATGGAGAGGAGGGAAGGGCCAGCTGCGGAATACCTAGGCCATCAGTCTATAAAGGGCTCTAAACACCCCTCGGAACGCCCTGTGATGGGACTCCTCCCAGTACGGTGTTATTCTGCTGGCTTTTGTTCTGCTGAGTGGCATGTGTGCGAGCCGGGTGCCACCACCAGCACATTCTTTTGAACCCATACTCATCGTGGAGTTTAGCTTCTCTGCCAAACCCATTTGAGCAAATTTTCAGCAAATACATGTGTTTTCTTTTTTTCAGACAGTCTCACTCTGTAGCCCTGGCTATATATGGACATCAGGGAGAGCCGCCTGCCTCTGCCTCGTGAGTGCTGGGATTCAAGGCGTGCACCGTCACTGCAATCTCCATGAATACACTTTTAAGGGTTGCCACATTAGGAACTTGTCCAGGGGGATATCTGTAGCTCATGGGCTGGCCCTGAGTATGGGTGTCTGTCACTCTGTAACAGGGCGAAAACAGGCCAGAAGCCTTGCTCTTGCTTAGAAATGGCTTGAAAGGGACAGATTATGGTTTCATCCCTATCTCTGCCTCTGGCTACTGGTGGTCCTTGCTCACTCATGTCTCTCTCAGCTATAAACCAAAGACTAGTCAGTGCATCCAAGGATGGCTGTAAAAATGCTAGGCTGAGGAAGAACTATGGAAACAGAGTGATCCCATTTCAGACTTGACTTTCCCAAGAGGTGGTGTGGAGTAATCTCTGCCCACTCCCTCAGGTCCTAGGTGGACACTTACAGACAGAAGCATACTGCTGGTCGCTGTACAGCGGGGAGCTGTAGGCACGACGGAAACCAGGAGGCTGTAGGACGGGATGGGGAGAGCATTAGAAAGAGCAAGGTAGGTCCAGGTTCCCCTCCCCCGCGAGTACCCAGCCCTGCTCAGAGTAAGGGACGGGCTGAGAAAGAGAAAACCGGGAAATGCATGGCCTTAGGGGCCAGCAAGTCGTTGATGGCCTGGGTCTCCTCTTCCACGTTCTTGCTCCCCAGAGCAAGCTTTGCTACTCACGATCTTGCCGAAGCATCTCTGCATCTCCACGTAGGACTGGCAATGTTCATGGATGTTGGTTTTGCAGTTCTTACAGCGGAGCCCAAATTTGTTATTGACTTGAAGGGGAGAACATTTGAGTAAGGTTCTGGATTCCCATTTTCCTTTGTACCGCCGCGGCTACTCCAGCTCTGAAGGGCCTGCCCTTCTCTGGCACCCTACACTATCAATCTCAGTATTTTCATAGGGTGAATCTTGCCACAGTGTGTCTGTGCAAGACACAGCTTTCCTAAGCCCTCTCCCACCCCGCAAGCCTTCCACCTCACTGTCTCTAGTCCCTTCAAGACTCACGCACAATCATCCGGGCACAGACATCACAGAACTTGGGCTTCTTGAAGAAGTGATCTTTGAATTTGTGGGGCTTATCATTGACAAGCTTAGGAGGTTCTGGGGGTGGTTCCTCCTCCTCCTCCTCCTCTTCTTCTTCCTCATAGATATAGTAGATGGGCCCACCCCCGGCCCCTACTGCCTCTCCATTGGCCTGGGGCTCTGGGGGAGGTTCCATCTCCGTTGTCTCTGGAGAACCCTTCTTGAATAACTGCTTCAGGCGTTGGAGCTGAGGGAGGGGGTGAAGGAAACTCAATGTTAAATGACATCACTTGTTCATTTTTCTGTCATGGGAAAGCAATGTCCCTGGATTCGTGGATTGGGGCTGCAGGTGTCCGCTAGCCCGATAACAAAACGAGCCACACACAAGTGGGATCTACTCAAGCAGTTTTCTTTACACGTTGTCAAGGCTTCCCAGCCCCTCCGACACCCCTGCCCCCAGTGACCAAGGGTCCAGACTCACCCCACTTTGTGGAGTCTCTGATGGGAAAGGGGGCTTAGGGGATTCCGGTGCCTCCTTCTCTGTCATCCTGCAAGAGGTTGGAGCCCACTGAGAGCTAACCCCTGACTGCCTGCACGCAGTGGGGGGCCCTCCATGGGGAGGCTTCGGGAGATACTTGGTTCAAGAGCCTTTGGTAGAGTCTGTGAACAAATTCTATAGAGGTCCAGAAAAGAATGTCCAACAGACAGAAGACTTCTCAACCAGTTCCTTAAACTGATACTTGTCTTTCCATGTCAAGGAGCAGCCCCAGAGTCTACAAATCCAATGGTACTCAAGGCTGCTGGCTTCTGGGTTCTCCTATGGCAGTGGCTCTCAACCTTCCCAATGCTGTGAGCCTTTAACAGTTCCTCATGTTGTGGTGACCCCCAACCATAAAATTATTTCACAGCTACCTCATAACTGTACATTTGCTGTTATGAATCGTAGTGTGAATATCTGATACGCAGGAGATCTGACATGCGACCACTCACAAGTTGAGAATCACAGTCCTACACATACTCATGACTGATGCAATACACACCTTCTCATGGCTTCAGGTGTTCTTGTCTACATGTATGAAGGTGTGTCCCGAGATCTGCCCTCCCCTGCCTCGCTCCTGAGCCCTGGGGACCTTGTGCCTAGTTCTGTCCTGGCCTGCCTCAGGCCTCTGCTATTTTGGTTTTCAGAGTAATATGAGCCTTTCCTCCCCTTACTACTCCAGTCTCTAGAACCCCCCACCCGTCACCCCCCCTCCAGTCTCGACTCATCCTGAAGTAGAACAATTTCACTTCGACAGTTCAAACTACTCACAGATAAGGAGAGAAAGGAAGAGGCCGAACAGACTCAGGAAATGAAACGATGAGGAAGAGACGACTTACTTCTGAGACTCCCTAAGTCAGGTCAGTGTGGAAAGAGGGAGTCCCTGAGACCTTGATGGTGGTGCTGGGGGAGGGCTAGTCCTCTTCCTCCAGGGCTAAGCCCCGGTACCTTCTGGACTCACACAGCTACTCGGACAGTACTGGGAGGCCTCGTAGCCTCTCTGTGGTGGCAGGGCTGTAATGACAGGGCTGGAGGACCAGGGACAGCTGAGAGGACAGCTGACGGGCAGAAATTGGAACCAGGAGGTCTGGGGCAGGGCTGGACCCCGACTCCTCCCATCCCCCAGAGCTGCTCTTCTGAGTTTCCGCTGAGCAGGTCAGCTCCTCAGGAAGGGGCATTTCCTACCTAACACTGCAGTACCCTACCCCACTCCAAGTACCAGGGATTGAACCCAGGGCCTTTGCCATGCTGACCATGTTTCCGACCAGCAAGCTAAAACCCTACAGGAAAGGGCTTCTGTTCTCATACTCACTCATGAGATTCTAGATGTCTGACGGTGAAGTCAGAATGACTTCCCCATACTCTCCCCTTAATGCTAACCACCTTTCCAGCTCTACCCTCCCTGGGCTCACTTCGTCACTTTCTCGGATTTTGTTTCCTTTTTGGGGGGAGGAGGGCTTGTTTTTTTGAGACAGGGTTTCTCTGTGTAGCCCTGGCTGTCCCAGAACTTGCTCTTGTAGACCAGGCTGGCCTCGAACTCGGAAATCTATGATTAAAGGTGTGCACCTCCATGCCTGGCTAACCCCAAAAGTTTAGGCCAGGCAAGGGCTGGGAGCTGAGGGTGTGACTCAGAATTCAGTCAGCCACGCAAGACTGCATTCTTATCTCCAGCTGAGCAGTGTGTGTAGTGCTTGCTACTTTACTCCTTTCCCAAGTGCACAAGGGTGGCTTTCTCCTTTGTCCTCTAAAACTCGATCCTTAAGGAAAAGAGAATATCCGAGTTACTGAAAAAGACGGGGAGGTGATCAAACCCAGAAGCTATGGGGCTGGAGGGATGGCACAGCTTTTCACTGAGGACCTGGGTCGGTGCCCAGCACCCACACATGGGCTGTCTGTAACTCCAGAGGCTCCATACCTTCTTCTGGCCTCTGTAGGCATCAGGCACAGACACAGTACACATACATACATGCAGGCAAAAACACTTACATACATAAAAAAACAAATCTTAAAAAAAACAAAAGCCAGTTGGCACCAGAGGTCTAAGGAGCAGATGAAAATTTAGTCGACCCTGGAAATGTTCCAGCTGCCTATGGTCCTTCTTCTGAGTGTGTGAGTGCAGGTGTGTGTGGTCTGAGGACAATGCTTGCAGTCGGTTCTTTCCTGCCCCGTGGTGAGGTCCAGGGACTGAAGTCTACTGGCCTTGCACACAAGCACCTCTACTGCTATGAACCAACCTCACCAGCCCACAGCGGCCTTCTACAATGAGGCTCATTTACCTTTTAAACTACATGTTGTGCATTTATTGGTGCATGTCCCCTAACGTGAGTGGTGACTGAAGGACGCTGAACCAGGGTCAGTTCTCTCCTTGTCCTGGCATCAACCCCAGGTTGCTAGGCTTGGCAGTATGTCCCCACTGAGCCATGGTGGGGCCGTACAGCGAGTTTTTATCATCTGTAAATGTTCCCTTCCCCCATGAGAACTGTATACTTTATAAGTTAAAAACAGTCATGCCTCATACTTTTAACCTTTCTTTCTTTCTTTCTTTCTTTCTTTCTTTCTTTCTTTCTTTCTTTCTCTTTCCTTTCTCTCTCTTTCTTTCTTTTTCAGTCAGGGTTTCTCTGTGTAGCCCTGGCTGTCCTGAAACTCCCTCTGTTGACCAGGCTGGCCTCAAACTCAGAGATCAACCTGCCTCTGCCTTCTGAATGCTGGGATTAAAGGGATGTGCCACCACCACTTGGCAGTTTTAAACATTTTAATTGCAATTCCATCTCTCAACTCTGATAGTCCAGCGTAGGAACTGAAAGGCCAAGGGGGTGGCCACATTCTCAGAGATACAGCTTTCTCTATTCTAAGGGTATCACATGGCTGCAAGATACTGGAGGACAGCCGAGGCAAGGTTGTAATTGAGTGTGGATTTTGTTTTTTGTGTTTTCAGAAAGTCTCTATGTAGCTCTGGTTGTTCTGGAACTTGCTATGTTCAGGATGGTCTTGAACATAAGAGTTTTGCCTGTTTGGTTTCTGAGCACTGTGATTAAAAGAAGGTATGTGCCACCATGCTGAAACCCAGAGTCCTGCTTCTACACAACACAGACACACACACGCACGCATGCACGCACAGACACACACACACACACACACACACACACACACACACGCACGCACACACAGACACACACACACAGAAAAAGGAGTGCTGGAGGACTCAGAGAACTCTTAGGTTCCTGCTGTCGGGCCTGTGGCACTGAGATGGCCTGAAGACTCTCCGGTCAACTCCACCTTGCACGTGGTGACTCTGGTCTTCAGTCTGTCAGCTGCAGGGGGGCAGGTAAGCGTCTACACTGACAGGGCTGGGTACTGCAAGTTCAGCTGGTTTTGCTGGAAGTAACATCCACATGCTCCTGCCAAGAACCCAATCCTCTGCTCTCAGGACTAAGGTGCAGCTTCTGCATCCCTGAAGGGTGTTTCAGAAGACTAGATGGACAGAAATGAGGCCAGCATCTCGACCCAGTTCTGGACCATCTCACCCAGCTCAGTAGCAAGGATATAATAATGGGCAAGAAGGAACCTCTGATATGGATACAAAGGCCCACAGCTGAGGAGCAGTGTGCTTGATGAAGAGCAGTGCGCAATTTGAGAACCACAGACCCAGCCATCTGTAAGAATTGTGTACAGGGAAGAGGAGGGGCCAGAAGGAAGAGGTTAGGAAAATCTATGTGCACACCCTAGGGAAATCATCCTAACCTACAAAAGACCCTTCCAGCAGTTGTGGAACTGGACCTACTCAGAGCCTCAAACCCAACCCACACCCGTCGTCAACAGAGAACAGTGATTGATGTCCAGTGACAGGTTTTTGCTTTTTTTATATTTATAAACAAAACCAACCTCCCCCCATTAACTCCCCGAACAAACAAAAAACCAGATTAAATAAAATGTACAGTGAATACACCCAGCAAACATCTGTATGTGCAATTGAATACTGTGTCTGTTACTGTGGCACAAACCTCAAACAAACAATATACAGTGTTCTGGGGAAGGAGGGGGGTCCCAAGTTTTAACTCTGTGGGGTTTGAGGAGACAAGATGGGGGGAGAGAGAGAGTGGGGAAATCAATGTACTTTTCTTAATTCTGTCCATATAAATATATTCATGAAGACCAGAGAGGAAGGGAGACTGGGATGGTGAGGAAATGGGAGAAGAGGGGTGTGTGGGACCCTCTCAATCCTACTTGACCAAAAAATATGAAAGAAATTAATTCCATGGTGGGAGAGGAGATTAAAAAAAAGGTAGAAGAGGATGGGAAGGAGAGGAAGACAGAAGGGGACCAACAGGGAAAAGTGGGACCCCTGGCAAGGAGTCCCATGCCAGTGTGGGAATCTGTCTGCTTCTCTCTTCAGTCGTGAGGTGGCAGGCTCTGGCCCAGTCATCTGCCTCGGGTGCCTCCACTGCCCCCACTCCTCCTGTGCCCGTCCGTCCGTCCCTCCCTCCTCCATTCATTGGGAGCTCGCTCGCTCCAGGATCCTCAGGTCGTAGTTCTTTTTGGCCACTCGAAGTTTGAAGCGACTCACAGAGTTGTTGAGGCGAAGGGAGGCATTCTGGGCGGCCAAGGGGCTGGGGAATACAGCCACTATGGTGTACAAGGCAGCGAGGTCCGAGTGGCGGCCATTCTCTCCAGTCCCACTGCTGTCCCCGCCACCTGCACCAGGCAGCCCCTGAGCGTCCTTAAGCCACTGGATCTTGGCACCAGACATGGCGAGCTGGGTGAAGAGTTTGTCCGCCTCTGTACGGGTGATTCCTTCGGGGAGGTCTGTCACCTCCAGCACCCTTCCCAGCACTGAAAGGGGACGAGAGGTGAGACCCTGAGCAAGGCTCACAGTGGCCTGGCAGTCTCTGAGCGAGCCTGTACACACAAAGCCCTCCAAAGCCTTACCTTCCCCAGTCAGCCCCCGCGCCCCATCAACCTAGCTTATCCCCGTGGAGACTATGTGGGGGCTGGGGCAGCCAGGAAGACGAAGAACCGTCCTCTCTAACCCAGACACAGAAGGGAGAAAGACTGAGAAGTAGTCCTTAGTAATTTCCCCTCTGGGCACCTACAAGGCCGGCCACCCCTTCACAGGTGTCAGGGCTGTGAATGCAGCGTTCTCAGTCATCTCTAATACACTCAGTGGCTCAACCTTCCCACCCAGAGGCTGGGCCAGAGACTTCCTGTCCCTTTCTTTCCTTGTTTAGGCAACAGTTGCAGAATGTGCAATTCCAAAGACCTTGTATGCCTGGCATGGAAGGCCTGAGGGAGAAAGCTGCTCTCCCATGCTCTCCCAGCCCCCACTCAGGTCTGGGATGACAGAAGGAGCTGTCAGGTTAGGAGACCGCTTAGAGGGGGCCATCACCACTGCCATCACCACACTGTACCCAATGTCGAGGATGGTCTAGCTCAGGACCCTGGAGGGCTTGCCCAGGGACAAGGATATTTCACCTCTCCCCCTTCTGCTTGTCCGTTTCCCCACTCCACACCAGCTTTCCCACTCTACTGGGATGGCAATGAAGGGCCTTTCTCCCTGGGGGTCCGGCTACTCACCAACATCTGCTGTGCCCAGGTCAGTGGAGGCAGATTTGAGTGCTTGTCTCTTGCCCCGGTTTCCATGCTTCAGTCCACTCTGTCCCTTCAACATCCAACAGAACTCTCATCCCAAGTGAACCTTTACTGCCTTGTGTCCCAAGGTCTGCCCTAGAAACTGAGGAGTAGCACCCCACCCTGAGGACCCTACCTCACCAGGCAGTGAGACTTCCCAGGGAATGGTAACTGAGACCTAACACCTCTCCCTCTTGGCACTGAGGTGGGAGCCGTGAGCACAGACAGGAGTGGGGGAAGACTCTTTGCTTTGTCCATTCCGTGTCTTCTCCTGTGTCCACCCACCTGGTTGAAGCAGATGGCTCACAGACAGGGCCCAGATGAGAAGGGGAGTCTGACGGCCCTGAGACTGATGGTGTAGATGCTCACCTGGTGCACCGTGTAAGTTGACTGGCCGTGGAGCAAGGGAGGGCAGATGGACAGGTTGTATTGTAACGGCTGACCCAATAGGGAGTAGCGTCCATCACCTGGGGTAAGAACAGGTGTCTTAGGAGCCTGAGTTTCACAGTATGTCACAGAATGAGACTTCAAGGGGCTTTGGAGAAAAATAGCACCAATACATACTACTCCTACCTTTTCTATGATGGCAGTATCTATGTAACTAATTTAAGAGTTGTACTCCTATGTGGTAGCACACACTTTTAATCCCAGCACTCGGCAGAGGCAGATAGCTCTCTATGTGTTCACGGTCAGCCTGGTCTACATTGAGAGTTCCAGAATAGTCATAGCTACAAAGTGAGACCCTGCCTCAGAAAAACAAAAACAAAACAAAGAGCTATGTCTCTTCCTAAACTCTTAGCAGGACCTTGAGTTCTGTCCACCGTAGACCCTATGTAAATGCCAGGAAAGAGTTAAATGTAATGGTACATGCCTGTAATTCTAGCACTTGGGAAACTGAGGCCAGCCTGGCATAGTGAGAGTTAGTCTAAAAAAAAGGAAATGACGGAAGAAGAACCTCGAGATTTGCAAGTGTCTCTCATCTCCTCCGTGGGTGTCTTCATTCCCAAGCCCTCAAATTCTGACTCATGAGGGAGGCAATGTAGAGTGGTGGACAAGGGCACACACTTGGAGCCTGATGCCAGTCAAAGCCACTGGCTCTGTACCTGGAAATGCAATGCTGGGGAACTCCCTCTTTGGTGCTGTTGACCGGCTAACTGAACAAGGTATGGAAAGCACCTGGAGCAATGCCTGGAGCATACTAAGTGCTGCGCAGCTTACAACTCACAGTGATTTATTTTGGAGCATTTTAAAGGTTTTAAACATCTTTTTTTTTTTTTTTTTTTTTCGTTTTTCGAGATGTGGTTTCTCTGTGTAGCTTTGCGCCATTCCTGGAACTCACTCTGTAGCCCAGGATGGCCTCGAACTCACAGAGATCCGCCTGCCTCTGCCTCCCGAGTGCTGGGATTAAAGGCGTGCGCCACCATGTCTGGCTAAACATCTTAATCTTATTTTTAGATTACTTGTGACAGAGAAAGCAAAAAGCAACGAGACTATTCCCATCTTATACATGCTTACCCCATTTTATAAATGAGAAAATTAAGGTCTACTTCTAAGTGTGAGTAACTTTTTCAACATCACAAAGCTGGTCTGTCCTGGAACTGGTAGCCCAGGCTATTTCAACTGAATTCAGGGTTGTCTCTTCAAAAACCATACTCTTCTTGGAGCTGGAGAGAAGGCTCACCAGTGAAGAGTACTTACTGCTCCGGCAGAGGACCTGGGTTGGTTCCCAGCACCCACATCGTATCTCACAACTGTCTGTAACTCCAGTTCAAGGTACACATAAACTCACATAGGCACACACACATGAATAATAAAATTTTTAAAATCTTTTCTTTTTTCTGAGACAGGGTTTCTCTGCATAGCCCTGGCTGTCCTGGAACTCACTCTGTAGACCATGCTGGCCTTTAACTCACAGAGATCCTCCTGCCTCTGCCTCCCGAGGCACACCCAGCTAAAAAACCCTTAAGCAGACAAAGCTCATACTGTTCTGACACAGCCTCCCATTCCCAGCTTCTGGTCCAGTGCTGATGCCCGACTGAGTTCTGTTGTTCCGTGGAAGGCTGAATGAACTTCTTTCCTCTCTTTTACCATAAGTAGGTGGTAGTAAACAGCAAGTGTGTGCAGGAGGCTGGAGTGAGTTACCTAAGGGGGGGGATGTCCTCTGCCTCAGCAGGCGTCAGCTGCAGCGTCAGCTCGACTATCTCCCTACCCGCTGCTATCTTCTAATCTCCCACCCTGTCATGGAATGTGAATGCTGAGGTCCACAGCAGCCCACTTTGACCTAACTCCCTACCCTGTGCAGGACCCCCAGGCCGGGGGAATGGCGTGAGGACGGGCAGGGGACCGAGTCCAGTGCAGACGTTGCTGAGGCTGGTGACAGGAGAGGGTGCTGGAGACTGGGTAGGAGATGTGACGGGGCTGCTGCCCATTTGTGCATTGGCCTGTGAAAGAGAAGAGCACGTATCACACTTATACACACACACACACCCCTTGATGTGTCCCATGGCTTCCAATTCACCACTCTCAAGAAACAAGGAGTCTTGTAAGAACTGCCTGAATCCGACTGCTGCTCCTAACTACCCTCTCGCTCCCTCGTTTCTGTTACTATATACTAGACTCCTTTCAGCATCAGAGACCAATCCCAGGGCTTCATCCAGGCGAGGCAAGCATCGAACCACTCACCTACCTGCCAGCCTAGTTTGTATTTAGTACCCACCTTTGATAAACTGTTTCCTTGTCTTGTCTGTGTGGGAGGCGCATCTTCAACAAAGGGTTGGGGAAGCAAACCTGTTGAACGCGTGGGCACCCTTCCCCTGAAGGCGGGCAGTGGAGGCTGGAGGGGATGCTGACCCCCCGGGTCTTGGGCTGCTCTACAGACCCTTATCCTGAGTCTTGTCTCTCAGTGACTGGAGCCCACCCTTACCACAGAGGTCCCCTGTGCATCAACGGAATCTGTCCTTATGTGCATTACCAATCCTTCCTTTAGGTCCTTGCCCTAAGCACTGTTTATCACCAATAGAACTTGTTCTTCCTGGAAAGGTCACAGCTGCTTTGCTCTTGTGCCAGGGAGTTTCTCTGAAGCCATGCCTAAG